TTCCCTGTCTGTTATCATCAGCCTGCAACTTGGGTCTGAAACAAAAAGTCGTGGAGTCTGAAGCTCTCGGCATTACGTGTGCTTATTGGGAGCTGAGTCCCACAGAGTTAAGTGGGGGCCGCCAGAAGAACCAGCGGGATGGCCCGCTGTTCTCCTCGGACACTCTGCAATGAGATAGCTGGAACAAAAGTCTCCTGAACCCGAGGGGGGCGTGGGTGGGCAGGGAGAAGAACGCAGGCTTCCTTGTTCCTTCTTCGTCTGTAATGCGCAGGTTTGCCTCACTTGTTTGTAAATGCCTCATAGGACGACTCTCCAAAAACACAGCGATACATCCTGGGAAATGGGATTCACTGGTGTCAAGGTTGCTCTTTCGTGTGAAAAGAGTTTAATCAACGTCTCTAAGTCTGACGTAAAAGAGGTGAGGTTTGTGAATGTTTACTACCCACTTGACATTGAACTCTTGAGTTACTGATAGGGTTCATAAAAAAAAACAAACACAAAAAACAAAAGCCAAATATCAGCTTTCCAACTGTAGGATGACTTCATTAAAGGGACTGAATGATCAAAAGAATCCGAATAAGCAGGGCAACGCCTGTGAGACTTAAGGAAACAAACAAACAAAAAATGAGGACTTAGTCCCTGAATTATCTGATGGGAAGCCTGGCACATTTAGGAAGGAAATTACATTACCATGGTGTGAAGAATTCAGACCAAACGGAATTAAGGGGAAGATAGGATCATCAGCAGCCTGGATAACGTAGTTAGCCAATGCCTTTGCAGTGAGGTGATGTCATAGATAAGAATGAGTATTTCTCAAGATAAAAGATAGCACAAGAGACATACATGAGGCAATTATATGGGAGGGAAATATTACATACTTTTGTATGTTCTGAAAATGGTGAAAAACAACAACAATGTGATGGGAAGAAAATTATCATCTTAGATTGTGAGATATTGGAGCACCTTGCTTAACTTGCTCATTTTTTTCCTTTCATTTTGGAAACCATTGTTTTGGATTGGGGAAGGAGACTGGGTCTTTACAGATGGAAAATGTTCTTAAAAGTTTGCTCCTATGCCGAGACCGGTTTGGCTCAGTGGGTAGAGCGTCGGCTTGGGGACTGAAAGGTCCCGGGTTCGATTCCGGTCAAGGGCATGTACCTTAGTTGCGGGCACATCCCCGGTAGGGGGTGTGCAAGAGGCAGCTGATCGATGATTCTCTCTCATCGATGTTTCTGACTATCTCTCTCTTCCTCTCTGTATAAAATCAATAAAATATTTAAAAAAAAAAAAAAAAGTTTGCTCCTATGTTTATCAAACAAATTCATCATAACACGAATAAAAAAATGCTCCATCCCTAGTTCTCAAATAAACTAATAATTACATATGAACTGGCTCCGGACGAGAATATCATCCATCCTTAAATCCCCTTGTCTGGGCCAGAATAAAACACCCCATCGCCCCTCCAAAACCACTGGGTGCCTTTGGTTCCTAAGGGCTCCTTGTGTGTGTGCAGAATCCTCGTTGGGCCTAGGTGAGTGTCTCACAAGGAAATCGTTCATGGATTGAATAAATGACCTAAACTAAGGTGACCAGACGTCCCGCTTTTGGAGGGACAGTCCCGATTCTTTCCAGAAATTGGGACTTTTTTTAAAAAAAAAAAAAACGCTGCGGGATGAGGGACAAATTGTTAGAAATTGGGACTGTCCCGCCAAAAGCGGGACGTCTGGTCATCTTATCTGAACACAGCAGAAGACACCACGTGAGAAGAAAGCAGGATGTTGACAAGAGAAATCCGGGAGACCCAGGCTCTCGTGTCAGCTCTTCTGCGAGGCCCGCCTGACTTACGAAAGGATTGGTGCCGCGCCTGGTGAAGTGCCAGGAACCGTGGTAAACATCCCGGTGCCAAGGAGGAGGAGGTGTGCTCCCGAAGAAGAGGGCACAGCTGGGATTTGGGAACGCGCACCCAGATACAATAGAACACCCTCGCCGCAGAGGACAGCTGGCCAGCAGAGAAGACTCAGCAAAGCTATAAAGGATCGTTCTTTCTTTCTTTTAAAATATATTTTTTATTGATTTTTTACAGATAGAAAGGGAGAGGGACAGAAAGTCAGAAACATCGATGAGAGAAACATCGACCAGCTGCCTCCTGCACACCCCCCACTGGGGATGTGCCCGCAACCAATGTACATGCCCTTGACCGGAACTGAACCTGGGACCTTTCAGTCCACAGACCGAGGCTCTACGCACTGAGCCAACCCGATTCTGATCGTTCTGTGTCCACATGAAGGTCCTCAGATTCTGCCTTGACGCCCGCCATGGCTTTGGACGCCTTCACGTTTGCCTCTCCGCCGGGAAGCCAGGCCTCCCTGCCACGTTCACAGGCTCACAGCTGTAATTAAGGAAGAAGGCCTCGTTTAAATAGTCATCAGCCTCTAGGACTGGAAGTGTAAACAGCACGCTAATTCGTTTAGATGGTTAATTGGTGTTCAGTGAGAGATCTTAGCACGGCCTCCCTCTTCAGCTAGGATGTGTTTGTGTCCTGAGCGCAGGCAGAGTGTATTGACCCAACGGGATGACAGAGAACTTTTGCTTGACTACCGGAGTTTTAGCTGTAAACGCCCCAGGAATGACTAATGCAAATGCACTTGAAAACATTGTGAAAACATCAGGTAAAATTCTATGGCAAAGTTATTAACAGTTGACCCTCTTTGTAATCACAAGGACCATATGGCCCAATTTATTCGTGTGTTTTTTCCAAAGTAAGTATTGCTAGATTTCCCTTTCATATTCAGCAATATCTTTTTAAAAAATATATATATTGTATTGATTTTTTTACAGAGAGGAAGGGAGAGAGATAGAGAGGTAGAAACATCAATGAGAGAGAAACATCGACCAGCTGCCTCTTGCACACCCCCTACCGGGGATGTGCCCGCAACCAATGCACATGCCCTTGACCGGAATCGAACCTGGGACCTTTCAGTCTGCAGACCGACGATCTACCACTGAGCCAAACCGGCTTCGGCCATATTCAGCAATATCTTGAACTGGAGATAAATTATGTGGTTACTTGAATCCTCATCCTCATCACCGAGACACAACACATAGTGACTGCTGTAACTAAAAACGTTATTTCCCCCCTCCCCCAGGATCCAATGACAAATGTCAAGATCCTTCTCCCTACTTATTGCCATAAAGATATCTAACAACTGATGTTATTAAGTTAAAAACAACAACACTTTTTTTTTTTAAAGGACAACTGCTCTCCCAGGAATTCTATCATTGCCTTTGCCAAGTTTCTTGGTCTGCCAATAACTCTTGTTAAAAATAAAAATCATTGTATTCGATAGCTACATACCTGTGTTGTTGTGCTTTCTCAGTCCTATAGATACATTTCTGATATTTTACTTTTCAAAATGCTTCTTCTTCCTGCATACTGTATCTCACCACACCATCCAGCGGCTGCCAGGCCTGCTGCTGGCCAACTTTCCAGCATGTGCGTCCACACAGACCTGTACAAACAGTGCGTATCACACTAGTTCAACACACATTCAAGGAGAGCAGAGGTTGGCACATAGGAGGCCTTCACAGGTATTTATTGAATGAATAAGAACCAGCCCCACCTTTCCGATCGATCGTACTAGGTGCTACCAGCTAGGTGGGGAGAGTGGGGGAGGAGAGGAAGCTCTGTATCTGGCAGGTCTGCCCTCCAAGGGTTAACAGGGGCCCAGTGTAAGGAGTGCACAGATTAGCCACAGTTGCATGTTAGAATCATTAAGCAGGAGGCAGGACTTACTGAGGCTGCAGAGGAGATATGGGGGTGGGGGTGGGGGTGGGGGTGCAATTGAAGGAAGAAAAGGTAAACATGACACTTCTGGATTTTCCCTCCGATCCGGGCAGCTCTAGCCCCGGACTGAGACTCACAAATGTGGAAGGACCCTCCTCATGTCAGTCGCTGACACTGTGCATTGTTTTTTTTTTTTTTTTGTTTTTTTTTTTTTTTTTTTTTTTTTTTTTTTGAGGGGTGGGAGGAATTGGCTGACAAAGTCCCTCCATCGTGCATGACGAACCCAAAAGTGCATGAGCTCACTTTGCAACTACGAATATTATAATCCAGCAATCTGTACCCAGTAGCGTTCAGAGGGAAGTGAGTTGACACGGCCGCTGCTATCCAAAACATAAAGCCAAAATAACTTTAACCGAAAGACATTTAAAACATGGGAGGCCTCCTTGCAGAGCGAGAGCCACACAGCGCTTTTCAAACGCGCGGGACGTGCGGATCCCGCTCCGGTTGGTTTCGCGTGTGTCGGGCTCCCGCCGAGGCAGATGGGGCAGCTGCCCCCGCGCCGCGCCTCCCGCGGCCCCGCCCCCGGGAAAGGAAAGCTCGCCGGGCCCGGGAGCGCCGCGCCGGCCGGAGAGGGAAAGTAACCCGAGCCGGCGTTTCGGGCGGGCCCTCCCCGCCCCCGAGTTTCGCTGGGCCGGGCCCCGCCTCCCCTTTTATTCCCGGACCCGCGGCCCGAGCTGCAACTTTGTAACCCGAGCGCCCGCTCCGATCGCTCCGGCCCGGGAGGTGGGACCGCGGCGGGCGGCGGGGGACCGGGAGCACAGCGGGGCCGGGGAGCACGGTGCCCGGAGGAGGAGGAGGAGGAGGAGGAGGAGGAGGAGGAGCGGGAGCCCGGCACCGCGGGGAGGAGCCCGGCCCGGGGCGCGGAGGGGCGGCGGGGCAGCGGCCCGGAGGGCCCCGCGCCGAGGAGGAGCGGCGATTGCCCGGGAGCGGCTGTCCGGCGGGGCCGCGGAGGAGGAGCCCGGCCCGGGGGCAGCGGGAGCCGCCGGGCTCGGTCCCGGGGCGGGGAGGCCGCGGCCGGCGGGGCGGCGCCGGGATGGACCGCTGACCGGCCATGCAGCCCTGACCGCGGGCTCCGCCGGGCGCTCCCGGCACCGCGGGCGCGGGCGGCGCGGCAGCACTTCCCCCGACTCCGGCCCCGCGGGGAGCGGCTCTGACCATGGAGCCCGTGACCAAGTGGAGCCCCAAGCAAGTGGTGGACTGGACGAGAGGTGAGTCTGGGGGGGGGACCCCGGGGTCTCCGGCCGCGGGGACGGGGCGCGCGGCCCGTCCTGCCGGCGAGACGCGCGCGGGGCCAATCCAACTTCTCTCCCCGGAGCGGCCGCGCCCGGCGCTGGGGCGGGGGCTGCGGCCGTGGCCGCCGAGGGAGCCCCCGCTGGGGCCGGGGAGGGGTGGCCTTTCCCGGAGCGGGCAGGCGCCTGGCTGCCCTGCCCGGTGCGGCGCCCGCGTCCCCGGAGCGCGGGGCACAGGCCCTTTGTGTGCGGCGCCCCGGCCCGGCCCCCGCTCGCCGCGCGGTGTGGCTGGAGGAGCCGGGCGGCGCGGGAGCCAGCACCCGGGCGCCCCGGACGCGGTGAGACCCGGGAGGGAGAGGGGGGTGAGCTGGGATGGGATGGGGGATGGGACAGGGGGAGACGCTTGCACTCGGGGCTTGTCGCGCGTACTTTTGACTTTTCCCAAGATTTCGAGGGAAAGGGGGTGGAGGTGGCTCAGGCCTCTGCTCTTCCCAGAGAACCAAACTCAGCCAGTGGTTTCATGGGTCCCTTACGGCTCTGCTCTCCTCCGTCCCCGTTACCCCCCCAGCTCAGCATCTCTGCCTCAGGCCGCTGCTTTTCCTTCTGTCTGTTCTTCCCGCCAGGAATGAGAGCTTCCTTTCTCCATGCTAATAACTACAAGTGCAAACTGCAAAGCCCCCCTCTGATAACTACTCCTAACACTCCTAGCAGACTCTCTGCTCTTGCCCCTGGCGTGGCAGTGAGCCTGGTGGTGGTAGCCTGGTAAGAGGGGGTCCTCTCCCCACCGACGCTGGGGCGGCAGGGACAGCCTGTCCGCATCCCGTTCCTCCTGCCCCCGGTGGAGGGTGCCTGGAGACCACGTGGGGTGGTGTATGGGGGGGGGGGGGATGGAGACCACGTGGGGTGGTGTATGGGGGGTGGGTGGAGACCACGTGGGATGGGGTGGATGGGAGGTGTCGGTGCGGATGTCTGCCCCTTGGCGCTCCTGTGGGAAAGGGGAGGGATACACTCTCCCCTGAGAAGAGGTTTGTCCAGCGGCCAAAAGCACCTGGGCTCTTACCGAAAGACAGGGATGAAGACAGCAAATACCTGTGCATTGGGTAAAAAGTAAATAGCAGTTGTCCGCGCTGGGTACCAACCATTCACTTAAAATACCCAGAGCCTGTTTTGAATTGGGGTTTATTACCCATCCAGCGACCTGCCCAGACTGAGTTGGCCGATTTAAAAAAAAAAAAAAAAAAAAAAAAAAATATATATATATATATATATATATATTATTGACACTTTTACAGAGAGGAAGGGAGAGGAATAGAGAGAAACATCCATGAGAGAGAAACTTTGACCAGCTGCCTCCTGCACACCTCCTCCTGGGGATGTGCCCACAACCAAGGAACATACCCTTGACCGGAATCGAACCTGGGACCTTTCAGTCCATAGGCCGATGCTCTATCCACTGAGCCAAACCGGTTAGGGCTGGCCGATCTCTTTTACCTGTAAGTCTGCCCTAGAGGCAGCCTGGGAAACTGGTGACTTCGGCCGTCTTTGGGTCTGAGAACTGTTCTATCCAATATGGTAGCAACACGTGGCTGTTGAGCCCTTGACACGTGGCTGGTCTGCGTTGTGACATGCTGTAATCATAAAGAGCACATGGCATGAGCATGTAGACTGTCCCGTTGGCCGTTCTGGATAGTTACTACATGTGGAAGGGACAGTCTTTTCGAAACATTGGCTTCCATGCAATGCATTACTGAAAGGAACGTCACCTGCTCATTTTTACCTTCTGAGATGGGGCGTCTAACCAGTCCCCCAGGCGGCTCCCCTTTGTGGCTTCCATTCTGCTGCCCGGCACTGGTCCCCGGGGGAGGAAGGGTTACAGCTGACCACGCTGGCTTCCCGGAGCCCCCAGCCTTCTTGATAATGTGCAGCCAGGAAAATGCTTTCAGGCACACAGGAAGATTACAGAGTCAGGTCTTCACACTCTCAAGATTTGTCTTTTTGTTGTTGTTGTTCCTCTTGGGTTTGGGAGAGAAGTGTGAATCCACATCCTGTTGTGTTTGTCCCGCATCTGGAAGCGAGAGCCCCTTACAGTGGGGTTACAGTGGGGGTGGGGTCCGGCTGCCTTGCCGCTGGGACGTACGTGGTGGGGATTGCTTCCATCGGGGGAAAGTTTCCTGCTGGCCCGGGAGCGCTGTGGGTGCCCGGAGCCCTGGGGACCGATTAGGTTACATACCTGCGGTGAGCACGTGGCAGCGTGATATGGAATGCCTGTGCCCTTTTGGACCCGAAAGCAGCGCCTTACAGAATGACCTCCAGACTTTCTGGGACAGGATCTAGGGAAGGGAAAAGGAGCCAGGTATGTGGCTGGCTCTCGGATGGCAAGAGGCTGCATGCTCCCCCATTGCGCGGCACACGTCTCGGATATTTCCCCTGGGGTGATGGGAAGTATTGGCTTTCTCATGGACTATCGATGTCTGCAGACGCGTTTGCGTAGGGGACTATTTTTAGCTGCCTTTGCCAACCTCTCTCCGCACCCCCCGTTTTATAAATACCTGCTGCCGATAAGCGGCTCCTCCCGTAGACTTTGCCGCTTTGCCACAGGGTCCCGTGGCTGTGGCCGTTCTGAGGTCGCAGAAGGCTTTGGATTCGGAACTACCCCCACCCCACCGCAGCCTGCGGCCTGCGCTCACAGGGAGGCCGCTAGGCAGGTACGTGCATTAGGAAGAAGGTTGATGTCGCAGAATGAGTTAAGGCGTCTGTTTTTTGTGATTGTTATTGTCTGTAGTAATCTTAGCCACACTGCACCCATTTGTCATCACAGTGTATCCTCAGGAAATATTAGAATGTGTCAGGCCCAGGTCTGAGCACTGTAAGGGTTCGTTCATCTCGTGCACAACCACTCGGGCTAGGAACGGGTGATTTCCATTTTGCAGCTGAGGAGGCTGAGGCACAGAACGGTTAAGTACCTCTGCTGATGTCACGTAGCTGGGGAGCGACAGAGCACTCTGGATCTTCCCCTGCTGATGACTAGACCTCCGGGATTCCCACGATGGGAGGCACTGATACCGTGTGTTAGGAGGAGAGTTGTCCGGGGTGTGTGTGTGTGTGTGTGTGTGTGTGTGTATGTGTATGTGTTCCACGTATTTTGTATATGTCAGGAAAGCTAGTTGTAAATCAAATTAATTCATAGTTCATGGAACCTTGCCTTTCAGATAATTCAGTAAAGTTCTCTTCATCGTAATGATTGGAAAACATTCCCTGGAGCATTTATTACGTGTCAGACAGTGGGTGAAGTGCTTTATTTAGACTTTGTTTAATCCTCAGAAAACCCAGTGAGGTGCACGGACCGTTATGTGCCCACATTAAAGACGAAGAGATGGTGGGGGGGGGAATTTGCTCAGGCCCCATAGTTACACTAGTAAGCGCCATTGCTCTCAAATACCCTCCTCCCTCGTCACGTCATCGCATGGCCTGTACCGGGCAGTGGTTTAGTGATGAGAGCGTGGACTCTGGAATGAGACTCTGGGTTCTTACCCCAGTTCCACTCCTCCCTGGGCTCTCAATAAACCACTACTCCTTGTTCTCACTGCTTCCTCTCTGCTTTGCCCGGTAGCCAGGTCTGCCATAAGGTTGGCACCGGGGGCACCGTCAGTGCCCCTCAGAGGACCCAGGCCAGCACTTGGTGCTGGTCAGGAAGGGTCTTGGTTAGCTGCGTGATAGATGCCTCTCGCCAACCTCATGAACTCGCAAAGTCTATTTTCTTAACTTTATTATTTTTTTAAATACGTTTTTATTGTTTTTTATTTAATTTATTTATTTTTAAGTATATTTTTATTGATTTCAGAGAGAAGGGAGAGAGAGAGAGAAATATCAATGATGACGAGAATCACTGATGGGCTGCCTTCTGCACACCCTCTACTGGGGGTGCAACATAGGCATGCGCCCTGACCAAGAATTGAACCGTGACCTCCTGGTTCATAGGTCAACGCTCAACCACGGAGCCACACTGGCCAGCCTGATTTTTTAAGAGAGAGAGAAAGGGAAAGGGAGATATAGAGACATCAATGAGAGTGAAACATGGGTTCACTGCTTCCTGCATGCCCCCTCCTGGGGAGCCTGCAACCCGGGCATGTGCCCTGACCAGGAATTGAACCAGCGACCTCTTGGTGAATGAGACGATGCTCATTCCACTGAGCCACACGGGCCAGGGCTCAACTTTTTTTTTTTTATAGTCCCTGGACTTGCAGTGAGCGTAGCATTAGGACTGGCTTTCGCTGTTGACAGCGAAATATTGGGCACCTGGTCCATGGCTGGGCACCTGCGTCCCTGCAGGATTGCTGGAGACGCAGAATCGCAGGCCAGGCCATGAGACTGCATGCTCGCCAGGTCCCGGAGCCATGTGCTTGCTGCACTTCGGGACACTCGGCGTCAGCACGCGGCCGAACACGTCTCACCCTTCATTGGTGGGTCCTCTGTCCGATCTGACATAGGCTCAGTCTCCCTCATTTAAGTTCTTCAGCGATGCTTGACGTGGCCACTAATGAAAGCAAAAGATGGTTTTCGGGTTAGAGAGGGATCACCAGGGAAACACACACACACACACACACCACACACACACACACACACACCACACACACACACCACACACCACACACACACACTCTCACACACTCTCACACACTCACACACTCACACACACACTCACACACACACAAACACACACACACACACTCACACACACACAAACACACACCACACACACACACCACACACACACACCACACACCACACACACACACGCACACACAAACACACACCACACACACACACACCACACACACACAAACACACACACAAACACACACCACACACAAACACACACCACACACACACACACACACACGTGCCTTTATAAGCATCATCTCCCAACAGCCTCAGGAGATTCTCAGCGACTCTGTGAGCTGGTTCCCCTGAGCCTTCTT